CGGGCGCCATGGCGGGGCGGGCGGCGCCATGTCGGGGGCAGCCCTGAGGGAGCGGCGGCGGTGGCGCGGCCGCGCGCGCTTTGCGGGGCGGCGGGAGAGCGGCCCCGCCGCGGGCCGGCCGCGGCCTCGCCGAGGCGGCGGGCGGAGATGAACGCGTCGGGGCGGCTGCCGGCGGGGGGCGAGGAGGAGCCCCCCTCCGCCGCGCTGCTGCCACTGGGCGGGAACGGCAGCGCCGCCGCGGGGCTGCGGGAGGGCACCCACACCGCCACCCTGGCGGCCTGCGCCTCGCTGCTGGCCCTCGTTTTCTGCCTGGGCTCCTACGGCAACCTCATCGTCTTCTTGTCCTTCTTCGACCCGGCCCTCAGGAAATTCAGGACCAACTTCGACTTCATGATCCTCAACCTCTCCTTCTGCGACCTGTTCATCTGCGGGGTGGCCGCCCCCATGTTCGCCTTCGTTCTCTTCTTCGACCCGGCCCGAGGCGTGCCGGCCGCCTTCTGCTTTGCCTTCCACCTCACCAGCTCCGGCTTCATCATCATGTCTCTGAAGACGGTGGCGGTGATCGCCCTGCACCGCCTGCGCATGGTGCTGGGCAAGCAGCCGCACCGCGCCGCACCATTCCCCTGCACGCTGCTGCTCGCCGCGCTGCTCTGGGCCGCCAGCTTCACCCTGGCCACCATGGCCACCTTGAGAACCCGTGGCTCCCGGCTCTGCCTGCCCATGTCCAGCTTCGCCCGCGGGGATGGGAAGGTCATCCTTTACCTCTACGTCACCGACTTCATCTGCTGTGTGGCCGTGGTGTCTGTCTCCTACGTCATGATCGCCCAGGCCCTGCGGAGGAACGCGCAGGTGAGGAAGTGCCCGCCTGCGGTGGCCGTGGGCGCCTCTGGACCCCAGCCCTTCGTGGGGCCGCCGGCCGCTGGGGCCGGGCAGAACGCCTTGCCCGCCCTGTACAGGAACTGGGGCTCCGGCAAGCCGCAGCACGGCCAGGCTCACAGCTACGCGATGCACCTGGGCCAGCCGTCAGCCACCGGCCGGCTGCAGCTCATGCCGGCTGTCAACCTGTCCGCAGCCAAAGATTCCAGGGCGGTGGTGACGTGTGTTGTCATCGTGCTCTCCGTCTTGGTGTGCTGCCTGCCCCTGGGTATCTCTTTGGTGCAGGACATGCTGTCCGGCAGCGGCAGCTTTGTGCTCTATCAGTTTGAGCTGTGTGGATTTACCCTCATTTTTTTCAAATCTGGGTTAAACCCTTTTATATATTCCCGCAACAGCGCCGGACTTCGGAGACGAGCCCTGTGGTGCCTGCAGTACCTATCCCTTGTCTTTTTCTGCTGCAAGCAGAAGACGAGGCTTCGAGCCATGGGCAAAGGCAGCCTGGAAGTCAACAGGAACAAGTCGTCCCACCATGAGACCAATTCAGCGTACGTGTTGTCTCCTAAGCCTCAGAAAAAGTTTGTGGACCAAGCTTGCGGTCCCAGTCATTCCAAGGAGAGCGTGCTGAGTCCCAAGGCATCCTACGGACATCAGCACTATGGGCAGAGCAGCTCAACCCCCATGAACACTCGCATCGAGCCCTATTACAGTATCTACAACAGCAGCCCTTCCCAGGAGGCGAGCACCCCGAATAGCTTGCAGCCGGTGAACTCAACTTTTGGCTTCACCAAATCCTACATTGCCATGCACTACCACACCACCACCGACCTGGTGCAAGACTGTGGCAGCGCTTCGACCAAGCCGATACCCGTACCCTCAGTGTAACCTTGAGAAAGCAGGTCTGATCTAGCTCATTTAGGGGATGCCCATCACTGTTGGAGTTCTAAACTCAATGGTATTGCTGTACTGCTCCCAGCTTAAAAAAACCAAAACAGTAGTGTTAACATCCGGCTACATGCATTTGAAGTGAATACTAGAAAATTACTTCCGTGGCTTTTTCTTGAATTTCTCTGTCAAATCAGAAAGGGCAACATTTTAGGCTTGGATTTCGAATTGTTACTCGATGACATCTGATTGATTACATTATGAGGCAAAATATCTCAGAGAACAATCTGAGGCTGCGCCAGGAGTGTTGTCTGTTGAAGTGCATACTTGCCATATTTTCAGGAAGGAAGAGTTGGGAGGATGCTTGGTAATGCTCTGGTTTAAATTTCCATTTGCTGAAGGTCACAAGGATTGGTGGTGTTTTGATGTAGCAAGTGTCAGCAGCACCGAAATCTCTGTGAATTTCAGCTTCCTGGAGCAAGAGGGTTTGACAGACAGTGATGTATTGCCACCAGGAGGGGACTGGGGAGAAGAGTTGTGGTGCCATAATGAACCTCTGAAGTATACGTACTGATTTCCACTGTACATTTATTGTAAGGATTGGTGCCATTGTATATCCCAAAATAATGCATTCAGCCAAGTGCTTTTCATCTGATAGAAATAACTGCCCAGTATGAATTATAGGTTTTATTTGAGGATAGGGCTGAATATTGCAGTATTACAGAACTGCCTCCTGTTAATAATGCAGTCACTTCTGGAATATTCTAATCTGTTCTGGTGTTGCTGGTAGCTCTTTGTCTGTGGTTTTATTTAAGAGTGGGAAGTAGAGGAGTTTGGCCGAGACATTCCTGAGAGCTATGAACAACTTTTAGAGCAAGAGTACCAAGTTGTTGGAGGAGCCAGGCCACTACAAGGCTTTGGCCTCGTCCTGCGATGTCAGTTTGATTTGAAGTTTAATATGTCTACTGATACTCTTTATCTGGTGGTTCACACTGTGAGCAAACAACTGAAGTATTTTTTATAAATCCACCCACTGGTGTCGTGCAGTGTGTTGTGGGACCTCCTTGTCAACTGGAATCATCTGCAGGCGTTTAAATTCCGGACAGTCACTGCTTTGAGCAGACAGATCTTTTCCAAGCAAGCAGTCGCCCCTCAGCTGCTGTTGGCTTCAGGAGAGCTGTGGTATCTCCAGAGCGACCGTGCCAAGAGTTCTGGTGCCAGTGGTGGGAGAATGGCAGCCCTTCAACAAAATGGTCGCGATGGGAAGATGAACCGTTCGCCTCATTGCTGCGTGTGAGTCGTCGTTGGTTTGGGCTGTTTGTTAACCCAGCTGTTTTCAGGATTTTCCTGGAAGGCTGTTAGTTTGTGAACACTGCTCTTTGTTTAGCACTCGGAATTTTAGTTCACTTTGAATAATTCAGTGCGGCTTTATTGCAATAAAATGAACGCAGACAACTTTCTAATACCAGTGTAAAATGGAAATGATTTCAGTAAGTTTTCCCCCTGCCCAGACGTGGTTCTTACTGACGTAATTACAAAAGGTGTTCAAAAGATGCGTTGTTTGCTTTTTTCTCTCTTTGTATTTCTCTGAATTTGGAGGTAAAAATACATGGGACCATCTCATATTGCAGAATGTAGGGCAGGGCCTGGGATGGACCTTGTGGGGGTTTAAGATAGACATTAAGACTGGTTTGGACATGAAGCGTGGAACATGAAGTTTTTGAGTCTGCTGTATGTATGCACACTTCCATACCATGCGTTTGTCTTGGGTCTCCTGAACTTTGTCCCACGACAGGAGATGAACTCCTTCTTGCCTTATTCACAAAAGGAGTTCACTGAAGTGATTTGCACTGAATGTTCATGTGGGAGTAAAGAGGAGAGGGTACAGCTTTGGGACAGAGGGAGCTTTTAATTCCTTTATGTGAAATGTAATTAAGGCAAAGGAAATTAAGTCCCTATCAAGCACCTTGTGTTACTGTTCTGCTTAACCCCTGGTGCCAGCCGTGCTCCTAAAGCAGCCGATGTGTTCATATGTCTGTGATAGGCAAGTATAACAACTTCATTCAAGCAATATCTGATTTAAGGTTTTGATTCCATTTAATAACTGTCTTTTTGGAGGAGGTTTATGGATGTAGTAAATAGAAGAGTGATTTCATTTTGAAAATACATAGCCACAATTTCTTCCAAGCACAATTTAAACTGAAGTAATCAGTTGTACAACGAAAATGACTTCCTGTAGACTCTCCTGTGGTATATCTAGTCTTTTCTTTTCTTTAGCCCACTTGGACTATCAGAACCAGCCAAGTAAAGATCGGTGGTTTGGGTTTGCTCATCTTACAAACGAGTCCAGATTGTGCTGCACCAAATGATCTGTTCGCAGCTGATAGTTCTTTCCTGCCAGGACCTGTTTTTCTCGCTTGAATGTGGAATGTGTTAGATAGCTGATCATTCTTGTATTTTTTCATATAATGTAAGTAAGTAGCGTTAGGTGATGGTGGTGACTAGGCAGAGGTAGCACCGAAATGATATGAAATGGATTAGGCTGATTGTGTCAAGTGAAATTTTCTTAAACCTATTATTATAATATTATTATACAGAATTTTCTTGCCTGTTCTTCAGAGGTTTGTGGTAACAGCATTTAGATAAAACACCGATTATTTAACAGTACAGGCTGGCATACTCTGCTAGCTTGTTCTTGGTTGTCTGGTTCTAATGTTGGCCTGCAGTTTTGAAAGATTTGTAAGTCTGTTCTCTTCCACCACGTACCCAAGTGAGGCAGCACCATGGATTTGCGTTTGCATCTCTCAGGTGGCTACACTGACTTTAATCTTTTTGTGCCAAACCACAGGAGGAAATTTTTACCTGTGTACTATTACAGCTTGTGTTTTTCTTGGCTGTAATCCTGGTGCATTCTATCTGAAGCTGTACTAGATTTAAGAATCTGAAGCACGTTGTATTTGAATGACACTACTTTTCATTATTACTGCAGTAATCTCCAAAAGGTAGTTAGGATCTGCAGTGTGACTCAAGCTGTTCTTCCTTTCAGGTGCCAACCACAACATTTTAAGAAATGCTAGTAATAGCTGAAGAAAATCAAGCGCCCAGAAATGAAAGGCTGTTCAGCAGGGCTCGGGTCTCAGCCCTCTGGATAACAACACAGCAGGCTTTGCAGAAGGTAATCATGGAAACACTTTTATTTGACTGCTGACTTTCCAGGCACAGTCTGTGTAAGTCCTCATCTCTCATTCCATCTCAATCATATCCTCATTGGGTCCATTTTCCGCTCTCACCAGCGGTTCGTTTGTTGTTTTTAGCACAGCTGCCAGCTGATGCCAGAAAATCCTCTGTTTGTGTTCTTCGGGGCTCCACTTTAAGTAGGTTTTTCTTTTCAGCAGCTTTCTGAGTTTGCTGAACTTCTGAGGCACGCTGTTGGGCGGGAGGTCTTCCAGCACTATCATAATGAGGGAGTCCTGATTTTCATCCAGGACCCGATGTTCAGCAAAATACAGTTCATACTGACACCAGCAGCTATTTACGAAACTGGGAGAGAGAACAAAAAGGACTTTATGGCTGTTCTCTATGCAGTAAAAAATGTTGCCAAGTACAGGATGCCCTGGTTTGAAATCTCTTTCGTGATAACATATCTTGAATCCGTCAGTTTCCAGTTTTTTCAGTAGATTCTCTTTTGTCCAGTCTGCATCGTGCTCGCTGTATGAAATGAAGGCATCGAAGGGCTTGTTTTCTGGCCTCTTCTTGTACTGCTTCCTCTTTGCCATACACCAGTACCAGCCCATTCTCACATACCACAGCCCATCAAAGCGCCAACATAAGCCAGTTAGCACCAGAACAACCAGGATGGCCACAGAGGCTGTAATGGCCATCTGAATGCCCAGGGAGCAGTGCAGAAGTGTGAGATTACTGCTCTTCACCAGCGAGCCCCGCCTGTCTGGTGGGAAGCTGCACCTGAGTTCATCTTTGCCATTTATCTGCAAATGTGGGTTATGGATGTAGACGTTTACAAACCAGTACAAGTCACAGTTACAAAAGAAATGTCTGCCTTGAACAGTCAGAACACTCAGACTCGTTAGCTGTCCAAAAGTATCCTGCACGATGGTAGTGATGGCGTTGTCGCTGATGTCCAGCTCCTGCAGAGAAGCTGGGAGGGAGCCGCGCTGCAGGAAGGAGATCTTATTCCCTGATAAATTGAAATGCTTCAGCATCGGGAGAGCTCGCCCAAAGTGGTCGGGGAGTTCTGAAATCAGGTTGTGACTGCTGTCCAGGTTAGTGAGTGCAGAAAGTTGGCTGGCGGGTTCCAGTCTGGTTATGAGGTTTCCAGAGACGTTAAGCGATTCGAGGTTCTCTAGGGCTTCGGTTAATGCCAGCACCTTCAACTTGTTTTTACTAATATCGCATGTTGTTAAAGTTGACGGGAAGTATTCAGGATGCATATCTGTAATTTTATTGTTTTGAATGTTAAATACGGTTAAGTTGGAGAGAGATTTAAAGCTAGGGGGTATCATCTTAATATCGCTGTTGCTTATGTCGAGGTGCTGCAGAGAGATTGGTAAGTCAGGAAGCATGGAAATGCGATTGCTGCTGAGATCCAGAAATAGCAGTTGTTGCATTCTGTTGGCAAACCATTCTGGAAGTTCTACAATGGAGCAGTTGGACACTTTCAGGTGCTTCACTCTCTCTGGAAGGCTTTCGATGGGCGTACCAGCCTGGTTTCTGACAAAGGAAATGGCACTGATATGTACAGTTCCAGGGGGAGGCCTTGTGGCTGCGCTGGGGCTGTCTGGACGTACGGTGTATATGAGCTGATTTCCTTGAACATACAGACGTTCCAGTTTAGATAACTTTTTAGCAAAATTCGCAGGTATTGTACTGATGTTTGTGAAGGACAAATCGATGACCCTGATGGTTGGAGGGAGACACATCGTTTCCAACCTGTTTATGGGATTGTTGCTGATATTTAGAAATGAAAAGTTGCTAAATGGGAAGCGACAGATTGCTTCAACGTCTATGTTGTTAATTGTTATTTTGTTGTAGCTTGCATCAACGGACCGTATGTCTTTCATTGGCAAAAACAGGACGAACAGAGATAGAAGATCCATTTCCAGGTCGCTGTGACTAATGTTAAACTCCAAAACAGCACCCAGCTTAGCTTGGCAGAGGTCTGCATCCAGTTTTGCTTCCAGCTCTTCATTAGACAGTTTGGTCCTTGATAGGTCAAGCAACCCATTGATTGGTGCTCCACACACGTCAGGCCTCAGCGTGGCTGCTGGAGGGGAGGTTGTATTTTCCTCTGCTCTTCTTCGTCTGAACCTTGGGCTAACATCTCCTGGATTGGATGGATCTTCCAAATGTGGCAGCAGTTCAGCTGGTGTAGAAGGCTCCAGAGCAGCCTCTGCTGATTTTTGAAAATACATATAAGTCTGTGAAGGTCCTGAGGCCCCACTGGTTGGTATGAGTTTCAGGTGAGGTGCAAGATCAGATACCAGAAGATTCTCATCATTAAATGATAAATCCACAGAAACAAGGCTGAGCAGGTTCTCAAATGCACCGAGTTCAATGTCCTTAATGTGATTGTAGGAAAGGTCCAAAGCTTCCAGTACATCAAAACCTTCAAAGTCTCTTTGGGTTATTTTTTCAATTGCATTATGTGAGAAGTTGAGAGCTCTTGCTGTTTTGGGAGCTTGTGCTTCTGATACAGAAGTGAGGTTGAAGTAAGAGTAGTTATAAAATGGGAAGGAAGACATTGGAGATGTTCTCTGAGTTAGGAATCCATTGGCTCTACTGAATAAGAAAGAAATGAAGTAGAAATAAAGACTTCCAATAAGGGTCCTCATCCTAGAGAAAAGAAATGTAAAATCCATCATTATACTATGCTCTACATTGCATCAACGAGTATCCTTTAAATATGTTAAATAATCCTACTTTATGGGCAAGCACATAAATTGCTTCACTAGTCACATCTGAATCCCTTGTTATCCACACAAAAACGTGTCCTGCTTCATTATTTTGTTCAAGAGGCAGGAGTAGAAGAGGTGTCAGAAGGATCTCAAGTACAGCACTGTGCATTTCAGATCACTGTAGTGAATCTGAGTGTTTGCTGCTGTAAAATAACCTTTTCCCCTCCCCAGGCAGGTTGTAAGCAGCCTTCTCAGCAACAGCTTCCCATTGTGCAATCTGAATTGCGCTTTCCTAAATGCTGTTTGCAGGTTTCACGCTTCTCATCCTGACTCACAACTGAATTTACCACTGAACATTGATTTAATCTTACCTGCAGGAAGAAGAAAAAGAGAAAACTGGCTCCGAAGATGAAATGGGTGGATTTGGATGTGGCATCCTGCACCAGGAGAGGTCACTGCCTGCCGACCCACTCATCTCTGAAGACTTCCCTGAGCCTGGTAAGGTCGCCGCTCGGCTCCTCTCCTGCCCCACGTCTTTCTTGGAGTTTGCTCACACTGGATCATGCGCTTCCATGTCTTCTATTTGTTATGTGGAAATGTGCACCATTAGCAGAGTGATCGAGCCTTATCATAGCCCCTTTTAGCCGCCATCACAGCTACCAGGCCAGGATCCTCACATTTGACTGAGAAGAAGAAAGCAGAGGGAAGGCAAAGCCCTTCCAGATATGCCCTCAGTCCTCAACCAGCCCCAAGACCAGAACCAGGATCAGTCCCACTAAACACCCCACACCAGTAAGCCACCCCCAAGATGTCAAAGCCTTGCACAGCACCTACAGATGAGAGACAGTTAGAGCCTACCTCGTGTTTCTAGTGCCCACTCTCCTCACAGCCCTGCTGCAGCCTCCAGAACTGCCCGGTCCCACTGCTGCTTTTGTAGTGCTGCCAGTGGGGTGGCACAGGCTGTGGCATGAGTGTGGCAGGGTTCTCCTTCTCACAGCAAGAAACCTTCCTGCCAATGGGAGCCCATTGCTTCTGGGGGAAATGGAGCGTGGGAGCTGCTTGATTTAAGGTTTAGAGGTCGCTCTCAACGACCTGCTCCCAAGGTATTCTCTGGGATTTTTGCTGCCGTGCTGCAGTTATGATAAAGATAGAAAGGAGAACCAAGAGAATACTCTGTAATGGATGTCCCACTGTACTGTTCTCAGCCTTTCTGGAGGGGGAAGAAAAAATAAGTGTCATTGGACTTACATTTGGAAATGGGAGAGCTGGTCACGCTGCTGCTGGAAGCCTCGCTTCTGTCTGAGCAGGGAAAAGAACAGGAGATTTTCTTCTTGTCTGTAGTGCTGCCTTTAAAGATGTGCTCTGCTTACAGCTCGCTCAGGTTCAGGATGTTGGTGGAGTCAACAGATTGCACAAGGCACTGAGTGCTGTCATTTGCTCTGCTTCTTCTAAAAAAACCTAATGATGTTTCCACTCTTTTGTAACCATCAGTGACTGGAAATTCTTATGATAGCCCTGAGGCTCCCTGTCTGAACCTGAGGGACCGGAAAACCCCAGGGTTGTTTGCATCCCCTTTCTAATCAGACCAGCACTTTCCTCCCCAGCCAGACTGTGGGAATTGCCCTGAAGCCGTGCCTTGCCCAAACAGATCCCTCCCTGCTTTAGCAGGAGACAGGAAATCAAGAGCGTTTTGGACGTCAGAACTGAACCTGCAGTGACCCCCTGTAGATAGCTGCGTCTCCCTGGTGAGCCTTCCTTCCTTGACCAGAAAGGAGCCACTCAATTCTTGAAACTCACTCTGTAGCCCCCTCCTTTGAGAAGATGGACCGGCTGTGTTCCAGCACAGGACTGTTTTGGGGATTGTGGAGGAACAGCAGCACACAAGAAAGCCCTGTGTGAGTGATGAGGCAAAATGCAAGTGTGGCCGAAGGCAGAACTGAGGCAGATTTGGGGAGTCCAAGTATTAGTGTTGTAATGTTAATGTTAAAATAATACCCCGTGTTTCTGTACCACTTGAGAAAACTGTTTCCAAGCCTGATTGTCTTATTTTGACCCTTGAGCTAGGTGAGACTTTGCAGGGGCTGTTTTGCCTCACACATTGAGCCACTGCATCCTTTCAGCTGTATCTAGCTGTGCTGGTGTCTTACATAAATAATCTCTCTGCTTCTTGTTTCAGTCATGCAGATAATTATTTGTGAGTTTGAATGGCAGTTAGGAATTAGCTCTAAAAGGAATCCCTATTGTCTGAAGGCTCAGGGCTGCTGTGTTTGAGCACTCTTTGAGTAGAGATGGAAGATCATTCATCATATGACTCTTACTTTCTACATAAAATTCCAATTCCATCTCCTGATGGCTTTTTAGCAGGTCCTAGCAGGAAGTGAGTGACTCTGTGCTACATGGGTTGGGTTTTGTAGGAGTTCACCAGTTTCTGACTCATAAGTGAGTTTGAAGCATTCTTGTACTGATAAGCTGGGGAGAGGGGAACGTCATTAGGTGCTTATTGCTGATGATCTTTTTTTGTGTGGATGGATCTAGTATTCTGGGGCATAAAACAGTTCATTCTTTGAGCTCTTCTCATTGAAATAAATACCTTCAATAAGCGGCATGTTTCACTTTCACAGATCTACTTTCCTTTGATGTAATTCCCTTTGACTAATTGCAGATTACGTAGGTGTAATTACTGCTGTCTGCTGTTTGAGTTATTTTCCACACTGGTGATTCTTACATGAGGAAGGAATCAAATGCCTTTCAGGCTGAGGTGCAAACCTGCATACCATCACAGGCATAAATCTAAGCAGATCGGCCCCTGAACCCACAGAGCTCCAGTTCCACTTTGTGCTTTCTGCACACCCAAGGAAGCTCATTTTTCCCTCTTTTTGGTTCTGAGAGGCTTCCACATCCTAGGGCCTGCTTAGTAGAGCATTGAAGAAGGAGCTTTTCTTCCAGATTCAAATGTATGAGAACGTAAGCTTATGTTAGGATTAATTACTTCCAGCAGTATCAACTCGTGATCTGTTGTGCTCTTTGGTTTTTGGTGCACATCTTTCCTCCTCCTCCTCCCACACTGGTTCTTTCCCAACTCAGCTGTTAGCAGGGGAGATACAGGGCAGCGTAAAAAAGAAAAGTGTTCCTCATCTCTGTGAGTTGGAATCAGGTCCTTCCTGAAGGACTTGTAAGGAAACCTGTGCTGTCTGCTGGGCTTTCCCTGTCGTGTGGGAGGTGTTGCACCACACAGTAGTTCTTTTCACTAAGGACAGGGTGAAGAAATTCTCATGACTTGAAAAAAAAATCTTTGTTTTCTGTGAGCACAGGAAAAACCTGTAGTGCAGCACTGCTCTTGCTGGGCCTGGAGCAGATGGTGTCAGGACCCTCTGCTGACCTTTACTGGCAAAGGTAAATGACGTGCACAACCCAGGTCAAAAGCAGTTAATTTAGGTGCCGGCCTGTCACCCAGTTCCTGTCACAATAAATAATTGGTTGGAGAGATAATCAGTGGTAGTCTGTGGTGGCTGGACAGAACGAGCTGCCTGGGAGAGGAGATGTCCTGACAGAGGAATGTGAGACCAACGTGCAGCATGGATTTGGCTCTTAGTCTCTTGGAGGCAAAATGCCCCAGCTACCTGAGCTTTAGCTTAGTGCTTTACTTTTCATCTTTGTTATCCAGCAGTGCGCTTTGCTCATTGCTGGCAAAGCTTTTTCTTCCTGTAATAATAATTGGTTGTAAGTCTGGTGTTGCCTCAGGTACCGTTTTGGTGTTTGATGTTCAGTGAAGCCCTTGTTGTGTAATGCAGAGCGCTAATGGCAAGAGCCAGAGGGTTGGATGTCATGGTGTTATGCTTGCAGGTGTGTTGGGTGCAGAGCAGGGATATGTGAGGACATTGCTTCCCTGCAAGGGGTGGCAGAAGCTGAGGAATATGGAGAACTGGATTTTGTGGTTTTGGCAACAGCACATAAATAGCAGCAGAACTTCATTGGTTTCAGTGGCATGCTGAGGTGCTGTGGCTGCTTAGTCACAGAGGCTGCACTTCCCCACTGTGCTGGGGACTTCTCTGCTATGAGGGGAAGTGGAATTCTTTAAATTCTGCAGCGTATCTATCTTTACCTTCTCCTCTCATCTAATCTACCACAACAAACAGATGTGCAGATAGGTTTTAGTCTGTTGTGGTTTCTCCTCCCTTGAATATGACCTAACCCAATACATGCTGACGAGGTCTGACAGGGTCCCCACACATACAGCCTGGGGCTCGAGCACTCACTGCTTTGTGGTTCTGCACAGCACTGAGCCACCGTGATGCTGACTTTCCTAAAAGCAGGTAAATAGAAATGGAGCAGCCTCAATTCAGAACTGCCATCAGGGGTCGCACAGTTCTGTCTCACACTTCCACCTGCTGCTGCAGCCTCAGTAAGAGTCAGCCGGCCCATTATCAAGACAGATTAGAGGAAGCTAAAGCTAAACACTGTATTTTCTTACTGTTATGTTGACCTGGGAGTACCCAAAGTAGTTTAAAGACGTTTTGGTTGCAGCTACTCACACTGCAGTTCCACCTTTGGCATCCATGCAGGCAGTATGGGAAGATGCTGCTGGAGCCTGCAGACTTTCTTCCCCTGTCTATCATCTGCGCTTTCTGAGACCACGTTCTTACGCACACTGCACTGCCCACTTGCAGACACGAACTCGTTGAATCGCGTGTAAAGACAGCCTTCGGTCAGTAGGGGGCCCAGATTGCTAGCGGCTGTTCCGGATGCCCAGTGAGAGGATCGGGCTGTTCAGGCAAGTTAGAATACTTCAAGGAAACAAAGTTAAATATCTAAAGTTTGGTCTTTGCTTCTTATGCCTCTAGTTTTCTAAAAGCTGGCTTAATACGAGATTAAAATGTAAGGATGATTTTCCTCGTGCTTTAGGGAACATTACAAAATCTAGCTAAGTCAAGTCCTCTTCCCCTGTCCTAGCCATAACAGGACCGGGCAATCCAAAATTAGGATGTGAACAGGAAGAATGACTTTGCATCTAAATGGCCCATCATCGTGCTGCTGCTTTGTTCTCTTCTGCTGTGAAGAGAGTAAATTTAGTTGCTAATTGCAACAGTGTCCCAGCTTTACTCGATACTCTGGATAGTACCAGACCAGCCACATGCCAGATGCTCAGCGGATTTCCGCTCGAGATCAGTTATGAAACTCCTACACTTTGCACAACTGTAGGAAAGAGGAAACCTGCAGCAGGCTGACAAACTAATGGCAATCCAGACACTGAGAACACACAATTGCTATGCACTGAAGTGTTGCCCAGCTTCTGTGCATCTCAGCATCATTGCACACCTTGCACAACTCCCAAGCTCATTATGGCAGAACTCAATAGAAAGTATCTGAAAGCACTCAGTAAGTTCTTTCTCAGTTGGAACCTTGATTCTCAGCGGGATGGTGCACGTGCCAAGTCTTACTGCAGGGCTGTGACCAAAGGACACACAAGTCATCTGGTGTGTTTATTGTGAACAAGGTCAGTTTGTGGTCACTCAAAACAAGTTAGGGATATGGCACTCAGGAAAAGCAGCAAAGGAACTTTCTGCCAGCCCTACAGTGTTCTCAAGGAAGGAAATCTTTAGGGGTATGTTGCATGACAGCTGCTGCAAAGCAATCTAGTATTATACTTTAGCTCCCCAAGCAGAACAGCAACTCTGGTACGCATCAGTAGGAATGGTCAGCAAAGTAAATACATTAAGATGAACCCTGTGAAGTTAGTAATACCTACAAAGACAACAAAATAAATGGGACTTAAAAAGCAGCAGTGACAGCTGAACAGGGACAAAGTAAGTTAAGAGGCAAAAGGACTGTGATATTAATACAGGTTCCATCAGTCAAACTGAGGCAACATTTGCGTTTGGACAAATTAAGTGCATTAGAACAACTAATTATTGCTGGGGTGTCTGCTGAAGGCTTCTGCAAGAAGTGCTGGTTTCCCTTTTCCCTTCTGTTGGCAGTTAACACCTCTCTTGAAGCCAGTCCGTGTCCATTTTGCCTTTTGAAAGGTGGTCATTTGTAACTCGATGATGACGACAATCGATGCAGAATGCCTCACACACCAGTCAAACAAGGAATGCAAGACAAGATTTTAATTGTTAAAAGTTTATCGATAACCTCTTATATACACATAATTATACACAAAGTGGTTCACGAGTCCCTCATCTCGGACAAATCTGCTGGTGAGTGAGGCTGGTTGGCTGAACACTTCTGTACTGGTCGCTCATCTCACAGGTACGGTGTGAATGTGGAAAAGGCCAGCTGGGATGCTGATGGGTATGGCTTTCTTCATGGACCGTGCTGCTCTTTAGCTGGGTACTGAAAGGAGCCCGTATTCATCTGCTGTATCCAAAATTTTACAGATGACAGGAGATTCCACCTTGAACACACGAGATCAAAATTGAAGTGTGAAAATATGAAATAACTGGGAAATAACTTTTACAAGAGGTTAATGGCAACCTTGGGGGTTGAGGTTGGGGGCTGCCTGAGGGGAGGAGGCGCAGCACATGTCGCATATTTAAGGTGCCCAGTGGTGACCAGATGGAGCAGCACCTGCATCAGATTTGCTAAGAACACTGAAATGACATCAGCATTTTTCAGTGCATTTGGAAATCCTGATGTGTCTTTCTGGACAGTGTCTATGTTCCCCTGCCAGGGGCAGGCTGCACTGCTAACCCTGCTTCAGATGGCAGCTGTGAAGTTTGTCACTTGAGCAGAAAAAGCTACCAAATCATACTCTGTGACTAATAAAAGCAGTCAATCAAGTCAGAACTGATCTCACACTTTCCATGAAGTGGAACATGTACCCTGAGATATCCTGCACTACGTGGCAGCTGATCTTTGGAAATTCAAGAATGTGTTTACATACCCCAAGGATGTATTGGCAAGAATGAGGCTCTAGCATATATATGGTTACAGCATGAGGTGAATCAGACTCTTTGCATCTGAAAAAAAAGAAATGTTGCTGTTTTTAGCATTTAAGAAGCACAAAAATAAAATATATTTCCCTACTATCAGCATCATTTTTTATCAAACCCAGCTAACAGTCACTGCTTTCTGAGCCTTGTGAAAGGCAGAAAGATACTACTTTCCTTTCTGGAAGAGAAAGCAGAAACACAAAACATCAGTTTACTAAAAAGAAAAAGTTAACTTACTTCAATTTCACTGTCACCTGCCGTGGCTTGTCAGTTAAGTCACAAACATCTCCATTTCCATAGAAATGAGACACCATCCTGCCCAAAAGTTTGCAAACAGTAAACACAATTTTTATGCACAGAGCTCATTTGTTTAATATGGTATAATTTCAAACATTTAACTTCAATATGTATAACAAAGAAGTAAAATAATGTATTTCAGTATTACAGGAGCAAACAGTTGTTTACTATTGGAAGAATCTGCCTCATATCCAGTCTTAAATTATCTTTCTTGACATGGCATGATGATTAGGGGGAAAAAATCAACATGCTTGTAACAGCTTATCTATTAGTAAATATTCATGTGTGGCCGAAGTGGATGTTGGCATTTATTTTTCTCTGCCACACATATGAGAGGAACTCAGGAACTAACCAGAGCAGTAATCTCAGTGACTGTGACCATACCTAACTGTCTGTGTGCCATCTTCTTTAAGATAGTACGTTCTAGCAGCATTCTTTCTGGACCATTCAATGTGTTCCTCCTTGTTCCAGGTGCCCACGACCACAGAAGTCTTGCCACTTTCCTTGTCCTAAAAAAAGAAAGGCTGACAGTGATCTTGTACTGTAATTTTAGCAGTGAAGATGTCTTAATGAGTGGAGTGTCATCTCTAGAGCAAGTCTGCTCCCGTCCACATGCCACGTTCTTGCATTTGGGATGAGCCATGAAGGATGATGTTGTAGGGTCAAGGCTCAAGCTGATGGTC